TTATTCCCTTACCCACAGTCTCAAAACTACAGAAAGACAGTATAGCAAGTATCACAAGGACTTTTACTGGGAGGCAAAATCAAATGGTAAGAGCCTTTGGAGTTTGACAAGGCTGAATTCATATCTTTGGTCCACAACTTACAAGGTGTTTTCATATGGCTTGACTTCTCTACCCTTATCTATAAAGAGAGGGTTAAATACCTCATGGGGCTCTTGTGAGAGTTATATGAGAAAATATTTTCAAAACACTTGGCATGTAGTCAGTGCTCAATATATGGAAGCAGCCGCCTTGGTGATGGTGGTAGGGTTTGTGGTGACACTGTGGGTAATGATGCTTTTTGTAAACTGTTCACCTCTACTCACTCATATTTACTACTATGACATAGCACTTAGTATTGTATAATTGAAGTACGTCGTAATTGAAAGTTATGAATACTAAGCTTTCTGTATTTCTTTGAAATTTGTGAGATTCCTATACATTTTTCTTAGTTGTGTTTAGTTATATCTATGTATGAAACAGTGTATGGTATCTCCCTTTTTGTAGAAGAGAATGAAATAGCCCCAAAGCATAAAGTTGAATGGCAGTGTGCACCTACTTTGCAGTCTAGAACTATTGCTTCATTTAGATATACCAAAATTTTAAATACCATAGTTTCTTTCCTTGCAAATCACATAAATTTCAAGGAAATGTAGATGCATGAAATGACACTGCAGTAAATCATTTAGTGCAAAGTTTTATGGTACAAGTGAGACTGTAAATAGAGAATAGGAGGTAGATGGAATAATTCAAGTTAGATTATGTAAATCTGCATATATTTTTGAAGTAAGTGGATTGATTTGGTTACTAAAGAGCTCCATGGTGAAAATGAAAAACGCATTATCACAGATCTTGACTTATGCCCAGGGATGGTCCTCAGTATGGTAATAAGCCTGACTTTGAATTAACAATATAAATTTTCACCAATGTACTCTTCTTGGTTTCCCAAAACTTTTTTTTTAAAGGTATTTTAACTGAATTGAGTAGTATGAACTATTTAAGTCCTTTGGTAATTGACTTTCAGTTCATTTAGTTGATATTCATTGACTGTCTTGGAATACGGAAATATTGTAGCTGTATTAAGAGGCAGTATGATGTTGCCTATAGAGCTTTTTATGACTGTGTGACTCAAATCTCCCTGCATCCCAGGTTCCTCATATATTCAAACTATGATGATAATGCTTAGGTCATTTTTCATCTTCTCTGGCATTCTATTTCTATTCATGGGTAGTCTCTGTACACTAAGACTATCATAGCTTCGTAAGACATAACCTAGTTTTGATTATCACTGATTTGAAACTGTTCCTGGGGGTATCCAAAGGCAGTTTTGGTCAGATTAAGTTTTCTTATGTTCCAGATTTTTATCCTGTCCTAGAGTTTGGCAGTTCATTCCTAGAAAGAATCTACTTCATAAGCAGATTACTTAATAAAGAGGGTGAAATCACCAATTTTTATTGCTTAATGCTTTGATTATCATTGCCTGAGTCTCTGTTTATGCTTTCTTAGAAAACCTGTGGATATTGTGGTAGTAATGGAAACCAGAAGTAAAAAGGGGAATGGGGGAATGAATGAATAGCAGACTGTGAATTAGCAAAGCTCCAAAATGCTTTCTATAATTAGAAAAATGTTTAACAATGAAAATATACATTTCTGCAATTATCACTATGTTTGGAAGTAAGAAATTAGCTTGAGTGGGAGGAAATATGGTGGAAAGTGATTGGAGGACAGTTAAGTAATTCAGTATGTTAAGGTAGTATGTAGCATATGGTGAAGTATAAGTGCTTTTGGCTCTATTGATATAAACTGATAGATTGTTTCATGTTAATGCTAAAGTTGATAAGCTGTTTAATATTTTTAGATAAATAGTGCATTTAAAATATCAACTAACTTGTCCTAAATTACACTTCTAATCAGTGATGGACATGAAAATTCAAACCTTTATCTTTCTGATTTAAGCTATCTTATTTTAATTTTATTAGGTTCGTTTTCCTTTTCTTTGGCAATCTGTTTTGACTGCTTGAAACAAGCTTTTCAAATATTATCTTCTCAGCCTCCAGCTTAATTGGACTTTTAGCTCTTTAATTTTTACAACATCTTCTTGTTCAGTTTGTTAGGACCTTTAAATAGCTGTCTTGGCCTAGATAATTATTTTGGACTTCACGTTAAAAAGCGTGCCCAGCAGATACCCAGTACTTGAAGAGCTGGCTCCTGAGCTACTGCTCTCCTACCTGTTTGGACCTAGTTGTTATGTCTTGGGTAACCTGTTAACCCTGCCATTATCTGAACCTGTTTCTGCCCAGCTGTTCCAGTATAAGACAGTGTAAGATTTACTGTTGCTTTTTAGGTGATGATTTACTGGAAAGATACAGATTTAGGATTGGGTAGAAGTTAACAAATAGCTGTATTAGTTTGTCTAAATTTCTTAACCTTACAGAGAAGTGAGGTTTATTCATCTACAAGAAAAGAATAATGCCAACTTCTTGGAGTGATTGGGAGAATTAAGTGAAATAACATAAGATGTCAGCTGCCTAAGACAGAGTGTCTTTCCCTTTTCTCTGCCTTCTGATTTGCAGTGTTATCTCTGGACTTATATTTTAGTCTATCCTGATTGCTTCACTGCACTCCCACTGTCCTTGTTGAAAAGCCGCTGGGCTCCTCACAACTTTGACCTGCCGCCTCTGAGTGTTCACATGGGACATAGCCTAACAACTGTGTTGAATTATCTGGCTTCTTGGTGGCACCTGTTCTAGGTTGCCAGCATGCCATTTAATGTGGATTTCTTTTTGTGACTTTTCTCTTTAGGCTACTTTATGCTTCCATTGCCTCATCCTGACTTGGTCTCTATTCCCTAACTTAAGTATTTCCATTTGTTGTCTTAAATCACCTACAGAGTGTGGGTCTTCAGAACGTACAAACAGAACCATCTAGAGGAGGAACATTTTTAGATCGTGTAATGTCACTGTTTATTAGTTATCTTTTATTCTATAAAATAATTTTTAATCAAATAAAATTTAGAAAATTTCTGTTTTTTTCTTTTTTACTTTCTCAAAAGTAGAAACCAGACTTACAAATCATAAAATATCTCTTATTTAATTGTGGAAAAAATTGTTACAGGACTCATGCTGGTGATTATGCAACTAAGTGACCCTCAGAAATATCTAGGAACATTGTAAATCAGAACATACTGTAGGCAGAGCTATTTATAGTTAGGTATTTGGAAATCTGTCTTCTACCCGTGTTCCTCTTCATATATACACATGTACATTATGAATCACTCTCATTCTAGTAGATTCAAGAAATAACCTTAAAGGAATTATTCGAAGTATATAAAAAGACATGCAAATTTAAAACTTCATTGTGGTATTGTTTGTTCTATTTGTTCAATTTAAAGCCTGCTACTTTTGTAGAAGGGGCTTCCCTGGTGGCTCAGCGGTAAGGAATCTGCCTGCCAATGCAGTAGAAAGGGGTTCAGTCTCCGGGTTCTGAAGATCCCCTGGAGAAGGAAATGGCAACCCTCTCCAGTATTCTTGCCTGGGAAATCCCATGGACAGAGAAGTCTGGAGGGCTGTAGTCCATGGGGTCGCAAAAGAGTCAGACATAACTTAGTGGCTAGACAACAGCAACAACTTTTGTAGAAGGCCTTGGCCCAGAGAAACATGTGGAAAAAAAAAATAAATATATATACATATATATATATATGAGAAAACTATAGTCAGAATCTGGTATAAAAGCAAAAGAAAAAAAAACATAAACCATCAACAACAGAAGAATGGACAAATGAATTATGGTATAGTCCTAAAATGGAATACTGTGGAATAATTAAAGGAATAAACTACAACCACATGTATTTCATTTAAAAAAAAAATTCACATTCATAACATTGAACCAAAAGAGCAAGTTGTAGAAGGATATCCTGTGTAATAATAGAAAATTCCAAATACATAAAATAAGACATTTCTTATTATATACTTGTCCTATAGTATTTTTATAACACAAATGATATACTTAACACAAGAAATGGTCACCTCTGGGGAGAGGGAAGAAAATGATTTAAGGAGGCTAAATGATTTAAAGTCAACAAAGGGGTGTTGACTTTATTTCTAATGTTTAGTGAATATGTGTGCTCGTCATAAAATTATATATATTTTTCTGTATGACTGAAATACTTCATTATTTCAAAAAAGAAGGCTCCACTGAGTAATATGAGGAGTCAGACTTTTAAAAACTTATTAGGTCTTTCAGAGCAGATGATAAATAGCAGAAATAAAATGAATATACATCTGGGGAAGAAATGGATATGTCCTCCATACTGTATAACTCAGACATGGGACTAAAATATAATTCACTAGTGTAAAAATGAATCTTTTAAAGAAATAGCAAATTACTAATTTTAATATCAGTGTTTTAAAGATTAGCTTAGAGTGTGTGCTCATAAACTTCAGTGCTTATTTTTTGAGAAAATTTACTCTTTTGTTAATTTTTTCAGAAAACTTTTTTGTTTTAAACCATTCTTTTCATTTTATATGTGTTAAATCATAAAGTAGTAAACACTTTGGTTTCCAGATAAGTTAGGAAATTGTTTTCATTTGCTCTTTAAGAACTACGGTAGTTTTGAACGGATTGCTGCAATTTATCCTCTCTGGAAACATTCCTTCTCAGTTTAATTAAGATTTTGAGTATTGTTTCTCTGTTGTTGATTTAGGGGAAAAAACACGTTGTGAGTGAAGAGCTGGGCTTTATGAATTTTAGCTGAGTATTATAGTGATATGACTAATGGTAATGGAGCTAATATTTAAGATGTTTGCCATCAGGTGCTATTAATTTCAAAATTATTTGAAAGGAAGGGTTATCATGATGGAGAAAACCCTGAAAGAAATTCCCAATTGAAAAGTAAATGATTTTAATTTTTGTTGGAATTTCATTTTAATCCATCAACCTTAAGATTTGCTTTCTTGTGTTTCAGGGAAAGGTCGCCCAGACAGCATGTATGTCAGCTTGCAAGCATTTAGCCACATCTCTGATGCAGCTTTTGCTGGAAGCTGAAGTAAGGCAGCTCACCTTGGGAGCATTACAGCAGTTCAACTTGGATGTCAGAGAATGTGAACGTAAGACAGTAAACCATCTCTTTATTTGTTTTACCTGCCTACTTACTTCAGCAGGAAAAAAGTTTTAGGTCTGTGGGGTTGTGGTCTTAATGGAGTCAAAGAATATCTAAGTGACAAAAATAATTTGTAGGTCTAAAAGTAAGAGTCTGTCAGCAAGCTAATTTGAACACCCCAAAGTGCCTAGGCCCACATATAGAAAAAAGACCCCTGGCCACATGGAAGTCTAAAGGGGAATACAAGGCAGACATGCATTTCATACACATCAAAGGAAACCTGATTAGTTCATAGACTTCAAAAGAATGCAGTTCTCAACCATTTGCTTTTTATCTTATAATTTAAAATTATTTTTTCATCTTATGTGCAAGCTCTTCTTAGTCTAAAGAGCAAGTGGTGTATGCATTTATCAGTCAGAAATGCTTTCTATGACAGGTAGAAAGAGAAAACCTTAGACAGAGTAGTTAAATAGGTTTTAATTTTCTCAGAGGCAGTGGGTTGCTGTACAAATTTAGTTGCTCAGTGATGTCATCAAGGACCCAGGCTCTTTTGTTCCCTCTTCTCTGTCATACTTAGGAATATAGAATTTTTCTCCTCATATATATTATAGTCAGAAAGGAGTCACATTCAATGGACGAAAAAGGTGCCAAGATCACCTAGTCTTTTTTATTTAAAAAATTAAAATCTTTTCAGTAAACCCCTAAACAGACTTTCCTGTATGTCTCGTTGATCAAAATATAATTGTATAATATTGAAGAAGTGAATGAGTCTTATTTTCATGTGTAATTAGTAAATTTATCACAGTCCAGATTCTAATCTAGTTTCATAAATAAATAAATTATTCATTAAATGCAAAAAATATATATAGTTGTATGGTCACCTCCAGCTCTCAGGGAGGCTGGGGGACTGAGTATCTGGCAGAGTGAAAGAGGAGCATCATTTCTGACATAGTTCATTTATCATGAATCATCTACTTGGAATTAAACATGAAATCAGGCTTTGGTTAGCAAAGAAGGAAGGGATGAAAAGTGCTGCAGTGTTCACTGTGCCATCGGTGAGAAATGAAAATGAAGTAAAATGATATGACTTCTGGAAACTTCTGTTTCTAGAAAAATTAAAATAGTGAAAAATTACATAAGTATACTAATACTTCTGCCTCACCTTTTTATTTTTCTACTGCTTAGTGGTTTCCTGTGGTGGACATTTTTTTTTTTTTAAATGCACCACGCAACAGCAGGATCTTAGTTCTCCAACCAGGTATTGTACCTGGGTCCCCCTGCAGTGGGAGCGTGGAGTCGTGACCACTGGACTGCCAGGGAATTCCACCTCTTGGTTGACTTTTGATGGCTGGAAATTAAGGCTATGCTATTTTTAATTAATTAAATAAGACTTCCAGTTCCAGCATCACAGAGTAACAGCTATCAAAGTCACCCTTTTGCCAAACAGTTCTAAAACTGGATTAACTGTATGAAGCAACCTTTTTCAGCAGACAGCACACAACTATGATCCTTCAAAGGGGAAATGCACAAGGTAACCTTGACATTTGCTCTTGTTTCCTGTCTAAGGGCACTATCCAGACACAGCACAGAAAAGTAGAACCCCTATAAAAATCTGTGTTTTACATAGGAGAATACCCAGAGATTGGCATATAGGACTGCTGAGACAGCTTAGCTTAGGTTTATGGACCAAGGTACCATAGAGCAAAGAGTTGTTTAGAGAAATAGCTCTAGAAATATGCATTGGAGATCCCTTGAGTCTTTGATCAAAAACTAAGCTGCCATGTGTGGTGTAAAACTCTGGGAAGCTTGGCAGAGAATCGCCACTGAGACACTGAGGATCTGTGAGCTGAGTAGGAATGCCAGATGTCACAGAGTGCTGGGAAGCACTGGAATTCGAACCAACCGAGTGGAAAGGCCGCCTTAACATACTGTACCTTCCGGAATACCCTTGGAAGTTAGGCATTAAGAATGCTTCTCAAGCTCTGGAGTAAGAGCTAATCTTGATCCTCCCTAATAAAGCCTAATAACAAGACTCGACAAGATGAAGGTAATCCGCCAGTAAAATAACTGCCTGCCAAAACATTCAAGAGTCTTTGAAGGAAGAGGAACATGAAAAAGTTTTCAGATTCCCACCATCTAGCATCTACAATTTCATATCAAAAAACTGAAATTTGGGACTTCCCTGGTGGTACAGTGGATAAGAATCCACCTGCCAGTGCAGAAAGCACAGGTTCAATTCCTGGTCCAGGAAGATTTCACATTCCGCTGAGCAACTAAAAGTCTGTAAACGACCACTAATGAAGCCCATGCACCCTGGAACCAGCAGGCTGCAACTACTGAGCCTGCATGCTGCAACTACTGAAGCCTGTGTGCCCAGATCCTGTGCACAAGAGAAGCCACTGCAGTGAGAAGCCCACACCCTGCAGCTGGGGATTAGCCCCCACTCTGCAAGTACAGAAAGCAGCAATGAAGACCCGGTGCAACCAAAAAATAAGATAAACATTAAAAAAAATTTAAACCCTAAAATATGACAAACAAGTATGTAGGAAAATATGACCTATAACAGGAAAAAATGAAAAATAGAAATAGACCCATTGATGATACAATTGTTGAAAATAGTGGACAGGTCCTTTAGAAAACAGAATATAGTCAATAATATAAAGGAAAAGGTGGAATGACTGTAGCTGAAATCTTTTCCACGTTTAATAAAAAAAAAGTGTTAACTCACTGATTTAAAGAGCTTAACAAATTTTTAGCAAGATAAACATATAGCCACACCGAGGTACATTATGGTCAGACTGCTAAAAATAGTAATAAAAGAGAAAATCTTAAAAGCAGAAGAAAATACACATTAACACATGTACCCCAATGTTCATTGCAGCACTGTTTATAATAGCCAGGACATGGAAGCAACCTAGATGCCCATCAGCAGACGAATGGATAAGAAAGCTGTGGTATATATACACAATGGAGTATTACTCAGCCATTAAAAAGGATACATTTGAATCAATTCTAATGAGGTGGATGAAACTGGAGCTCATTATACAGAGTGAAGTAAGCCAGAAAGACAAAGACCAATACAGTATACTAACGCATATATATGGAATTTAGAAAGATGGGAACGATAACCCTATATGCAAGATAGAAAAAGAGACACAGATGTATAGAACAGACTTTTGGACTCTGTGGGAGAAGGCGAGGGTGGGATGATCTGAGAGAATAGCATTAAAACATGTATATTATCAATTGTGAAACAGATCACCAGTCCAGATTTGATGCATGAGACAAGTGCTCGGGGCTGGTGCACTGGGATGACCCAGGGGGATGGGATGGGGAGGGAGGTGAGAGGGGGCTTCAGGATGGGGAACACATGTAAATCCATGGCTGATTCATGTCAATGTATGGCAAAAACCACTACAATATTATAAAGTAATTAGCCTCCAACTAATATAAATAAATAAATAATAAAAAAAGCTAAGAAACAAGCCTAAAAAAAAATACACATTACATAATAAAGAACAATGATAAGAGTTAGAAACAATGCAATCCAGAAAGCAGTAGAAGAACATCTTTACAATACTGAAAGAAGAAGAAAAAGTCTGTTAACCTTAACTCAAAAATTCTTTTTCTTGTGAAAAACATCCTTCAAAGATAAAGGTAAAATATGCCATTTTCAAACAAATGGAAGTTGAAAAAATTTGTCACTAGAAGATCACCACATTTAAAAGTTGGTTTTTCAAGTTGGAAGGAAATTATACTACCTGTCACCCCAGTTCTGCAGTGAAGATAACATTGTTCAAAGATGTAAACCACAGGATCTCTTTTCTCACATCTTTTTGTAGAATTTTGACATTACTAAGAATTAATGTCTGTTAGAGGAAAGTGCACAGTATTGTATGCATATTCAAAACTATTTAATTGAAAAAACAGTCAACATCTAATTCCCCTCCTCTTGAATCTGGGCAAGCTTGTGACTTGATTGTAACCCACAGAATGTGGCAAAAGTGGCTTTTGTGGCTGGATCATAAAAGACAGTGCAGCCTCCATGTTCTCAGCTGCTGTGTAGCAAGTCCGTCTACCCTGAGGTGTCCGTGCTGTGCGGAAGCCTAAACCAGCTCATGTGGACAGACCGCATGGAGGAACCTGGTATATGACACGTAAAATTTTATGCTGTTGCTACTCTGTTTTATTGTACTCCTTCAAACAATGCTAGATTTTGTTCTGACCTGGAATCGCATTACTTGTTTAGATCCTTTTGAGCTTTGTTTTTCATTTATATTGGGTCTAGAGCAACCTTTGGTCTCAGTCAATTTAACCCCAAATCTAAAGCAATGCCCTTTGAAGGATTCTACCCTATTACCCCAAGTGTCTGAAGATATTTCAACTCTGGCTGGTGGAAACCCAAAGTATGCCTGGATGTACAAGAACTCCACAAATTATTCTGCCTATTTCTTTCTTATAATTCTTTCCCCAGCCTTGGGTAGTTTCTTCTCATACAGGTACATATTAATCTTCAGCCAGGTATTCGGTGGGACCCTTTTGTAGTTTTCCTGTTGCAGCTCCCTCCACATGGTCATTGGCACTGCAGATACTAGTTGCCTTTGCATCCTGGACTACAGTCTCTGACTTTTGATCTCAGACTTGCATGCTTGTTTGGGTTCCCTCCCTTTGCCCACTGTGCATCATACCTAGAAACTGCTGCTAGACATGCCTTCCTGGTTTGGTTTCTTTCTTTCAGGGATCACAGCCCTGCATTGATTGTTGTCTAATATCTAAAGCCATTCTTTCAGATGCTTTGGCCAGTTTTCCAGGCTTCGGTGTGTATATGTGTGTGCAGTGGGAAGATGAGTCTTCTTCCTATTACTCCTTCATGAAATTAGGTGAATTCTGTCCTGACATTAAGTAAATTCCATGGTGGAATTAACTGAATATCTTTTCAAGGTTTTGTTTTTTAATTTATATGTTTTTGGAAGTAATATCTGTGTTTTTAAATTTACAGGGTAAAAAAGTACAAAAAATTATCATAATCTCATCATTCAGAAATAAGTACAATTCCAGGGATTGCATCCAGGCAAGATAATATCCAGCAGCCATAGAATTTTTTCTAGAAGTCATTCACTGGATTCCTTGCATCTAGTTAGCCAAAATCGTTTCACCTGCTTCTGTCTTAACCAGTTATTCCCCAGGAGAATGAAAACATGATTTGATAAACCAATCAAAATTGATTCTTAATGTTAAATATGAAGTTATCCTTTTCTGAGTCCTGAGGAATAGTAGAACCTCATTGTGATATAAATAAAAGGGAGAAAAACAACCAATTGTTGTTGCTGTCATTGTTCAGTCACTAAGTTGTATCTGACTCTTTCTGTGGCACTCCAGGCTCCTCTGTTATTCATTGTCTCCCAGAGTTTGCTCAGCATCATGCCCATTGAGTCCAGTGATGCTATCTGACCATTTCATCTTCTATTGCCCTTTTCTCCTTTTGACTTCTATCTTTCCCAGCATTAGGGACTTTTCCAACGAGTTGGTTCTTTGAATCAGATGGCCAAAATATTGGAGCTTCAGCTTCACCATCAGTCCTTCCAATGAATATTCAGGGTTGCTTTCCTTTAGGATTGACTGGTTTGATCTTGCTGTCCAAGGGACTCTCAAGAGTCCTCTCCAACACCACAGTTCAAAAGCATCAATTTTTCAGCACTCAGCCTTCTTTATGGTCCAATGCTCACAGCCATACATGACAATTGGAAACATCATAGCTTTGACTATGCAGACTTCTGTCAGCAAAGTGATGTCTGTGCTTTTTAATACACTGTCTAGGTTTGTCATAGCTTTCCTTCCAAGGAGCAAATGTCTTTTAATTTTATGGCTGCAGTCACCATCCACAGTGATTTTGGAGCCCACGAAAATGGAGTCTGTCACTGCTTCCACCTTTTCTTCTTCTACTTGCCATGAAGTGGTAGGACTGGATGCCATGATCTTAGTTTTTTTTTTAATGTTGAGTTTCAAGCCAGCTTTTTCATTCTCGTCTTTCACCCTCATCAAGAGGCTCTTTAGTTCCTCTTCACTTTCTGCCACTAGAGTGGTATTATCTGCATATCTGAGGTTGTTGATGTTTCTCCCAGCAATCTTGATTCCAGGTTGAGCTTCGTCCAGCCTGGCATTTTGCATGGTGTACTCTGAATATTATTT